GGTAGGAGAGAACTAAAATAATCATTTGTAATGAAATGTGACTTTACAGTCTTAACACAGAAATGATGCTTTTCAAATAACCCTCTTTGTGAAAGCAAACCCAGCTCCAATGAACATCGTACCCTCTGTGCATGATTTGTCCCAGTTCTCCCCAGCCCTGGATGTGGTTGAGGGGGTTAGCCATCGGATGTAAGATTCTGGGCTCGGAGTCCTGGGGAAGTGCTGGGCCTCATGAGCAAGGAGCTCATCTCCAGTCCCTGATGATCCAGTTCCACAGCCACACAGTCAAGGTCATGTTCTATTTTCTTTGTGACAAGATGTTTTTGATTATTTTAGATTTTCTGTGCCTTTGTGATGTGATCATGTGATAGGACCAAGGGAATAATCAGTTACCGTCAAGACCTAGTGCTAAGAGTTAAATCTTCCTTCAGATGAACATCTGAAGTTCAGGAGAGCATCAAGCTAGATACCTTCTTAAAAGTTCACCTTTTGTGACTCTGAACATGGCTGCCTCTCTCCTCAAATGTTTTTGCCCCCTTTTAAGAACTGTTGCTACTATTGCTGTTATGTTTCTGCTAAAGTCAGTCTCTCTCTCTCTCTTTCTCTCTCTGTTTCAGTCTCCCCTCTGTCATTCATATATATAAATCTATATTCAAACATATATGAATATATAAATATATGTGAATATATATGAACATATATATGAATATATCTGTCATTCATTCATATATATATATCATACATCATATATGAAATGAATATCTTTTCAGTATGTTGCTATTTCAGGCCCATGTGCATGGTCATGTGTATGATGGTGCATGTGTGTGCATACACATGTCTGCATATCTATGGAAGTTGAGGTCAACATCAGGTGTCATTCTTCAGAAGTCCTTCATCTTGTTTATTGAGACAAAGTCTCTCACTGGCCTGGACCTCACAGATTTGGCTAGACTGGCTGGCCAGTGAGTCCCAGGGATCTGCCTGTCTCTACCTCCAGGACTCTGGGATTGCAAGCGAGTACCTACACACTGGTCTCCTTATGTGGTTTCTTGGTATAGAACACAGGTCCTCATGCTTGCAAGGCAAGTTCTTTATCCATTGAGCTATCTCCCCACCCCATCGGTAATTCTATAAATCTGTCTCTAAATGTTTCCACTGCAGTTGGTAAAATAGACTAACAGCTCTTCCTAAAGCCATATGAATGCCTGATCATACTCTGAAAAGAAACGAGATTACATACATGAAGGTCTGGCATATTAACACTAATTTTAGAAATTTATAATCTTCTTTTAAGCATAAATCTGAACTCCATCAAGTTTTCATTATCTAAGAGAAACTAAGGAATTGTAAACAACATATCCGCAGTCACACAATCTTTTCCCTAATGTACTGGCATAATACTGCACATATTTTATACTTTGCATTTTATACACATTTCCTTATGCCAACATAACATCCATATTTGTTATAGCAATAAACCATCATATAAGTTTAACAGTTTAAATTGCATAGTGTCAACTTGTTTCCCTTCAGTTGAACTGGGTTGTAAAAAGAATAACAACAGCTACCATTTATTGACTGTTTATCTGATAAATCATCTGTTAAAAGCAGCTTTTAACAAAGGAGAGAACAAGCATAATTTGTTGTCTGTAAATGCCTAGACTTTACAATTTCAAAATACTGGGCCAGTGAGATGGCTCAGCATGTACAGGCAATTGTCACCAAGTCTGATGGCCTGAGTTCAATATCCAGGACCCACTGGTGGAAGGAGATAGCCAACTTCTGTAAGTTGTCTCTGACCTCCATATGGATGTTGAGGGGAACACACACACACACACACACACACACACACACACACGCACTAGAGGGCACCCTTGAGTGTTGTACCCCTTTCTTTTATTTTCAATGCCTCTCAATAGCTTGGAACTTGCTAAGTAGGCTATGCTAGCTGGTCGGTGAACTCCAGGGATCCTCCTGTTTCTGCCACCAGAGTGCTGGGATTCAAATGGCATATCTCCCTGCCTGACTTGTAATGTGGTTTCTGGGAATCAGATTCAGGTCCTAGTATTTTCAAGACAAAGACTATACTGAGTTGTGTCACAAGCCCCCATGTAAGTAAATTAGTATAATATATAATATAGCACAGTAAACATATATGAGTTAAACATATGATGTAATGTGAGTTACAATAGTGATTTATACACAAAGTATAAATTTTTTGAGACAGGGTCTCACTATGTAGTCTTGGATGGCGTAGAATATGCTATGTCTAGCCTCCTCCTCAGTGCTGGGACTCAATATGTATACCACCTAGCCTGGCTATGTGTAAATACATCTGTGCTACTGGATTAAGGATGGTTCAGAATTCTGGATTAAATATTTTTTGTCAAATGAATGCCACTTTAGCAGTTATGTAGAGAAAGCCCAGAGGTAAAAATTGTCATTTATGAGAAGACATCAAGAATGGGGCACACAGTAGATGGGCACATCCGAGAACCAAACAATTTTCTTATAGATCAGAGAGTCTGGGAAGGTGAGTTGGCTGAGGCAGAGCTAAGAGAAACCAACAAATGTCACATGACCAGCAGCAGGCCAGATGTTTTATGCGCACTTGCTTCTGACCGTCTTCAACCTTTATCTATAAGTCAGAGTCTTAGGGTCAAGGTCTTAGAGATTGCTTTCAGGAGACCTACTTCTTGCAGACTGGAGAATGAGGTTAACCCAATCAATCCTCATCAGCCCCGGGTAGATGCCAGATATGACGGAAGCTGAGTCTGGTCTGTTTTGTTGACTTGCTCATAGAACAGCCTAGCTGTCAGCAGAGATGTGTCCTGACTGATGCACAGCCACTGGTGTTCTGTCCCTGAGCTCTTGTTGCTCTGTTGAGAGATTCCCACTTCCTCCCTCCCATCAGCCCTAAGAGCCTGCCTCCTTTCTCCAATAAAAATGTCTCCAAATCATAATCTAAAAACTTTTCAGATCAGAAATCAGCAAAAGATGTTTATAAAGTATCAGAATACAGATAATCCCTTCTGTATCCATGAGTTCCACAGACATGGGTTGAGCCCAGGGTGAATCTAAAGTACTTTTGAAACTGTTGCATTGAGGGCTGGAAGATGACTCAGTTTAAAAAGTGCTTGCCTTCCAAGCACAGGACATGAGTTCAGTCACCAGAAGCCATGTAAAATACCTTGTCATCACAACACTGGGAGGCAGACAGGTAGATCCCTGGGACTCATTGACCAGCCAACCTAGTCTACATGGCAATTCACAAGCTAATGAGAAACGCTGTCTCAAAAACAAGATGGATGTATCTTAAGAAAAACAACCCAAGGTTGAGCTCTAACCTCTATACATATATATGCATGCACGCACCTGAACACGTGTGAGCATGCACACACACTCCTCATGCTCTAGACACATATACATAGCTATCCTGGTCAACCTTAATTGTCAACTTGACACAGACTCAAGTCATCTGAGAGGAGAAACCCCAATTGAGGAATTTCCTGGATCCAATTGGTCTGAATGCATAGGAGGTTGTCTTGATTATTAGTTGATATAGAAGGGCCTAGACCACTATGGGCAGCACCGTCCCTAGGTAGTGGCCCTGAGCCTTATAAGAAAGCTAGCTAAGGGTTGAAGAGATGGCTCAGTGGTTAAGAGCACTGGCTGCTCTTACAGAGGACTCAGGTTCAGTTCCCAGCACCACATGGTGATTAACAACCACCCATAACTCCACTTCCAAAGGATCTGATGCCCTGTTCTGACCTTCACAGGCATTGCACAACTTGGGTACACTGACATGCAGGCAATATACTCATACTCATAGAATAAAAATAATAAACAAAATATTTTTAAAGAAAGCTAGCTGAGCATGCACCTGATGGCAACCAGGAACTGCTGTCCTCTATGGTCTCTGCTTCAAGTTCCTGACTTCCTCCCTGACTTCTCTCAGTGATGGACTGCTTTTCTGTGGAGTGGATCAGGATCTGACCATTGGAGTCTCCAGCCAGCTCTTTCCCCACAACACCTCCATTCTAGAATGGCTTTACCTAGCTCCCTGTTCTCTAGTCCTAATTTCTTATAGAAAGGTCTACAGACTTTGTCAATTTCAGTGTCCCCTTATACTTGTGCAGCTCTTCCCCTGTGTCCCAGGACAAGGGCAGATGTGTATGTCCTTAACATAGGCCTTACCACAAATGACACCATGTATGAATTCCAGTGGTGGGGGGGGGTTGGGCTATGAGAGGGAGCCAGTGGGGTATAAAGATGATTAAGATTGATTGAGATGGTCTGTATGAAATACACAAAAGTTCAATAAAAACAAATTTTAGAAAGAACCAGAGGGAAGACCTCAAGCCATGAGCTCCATCCTGCTGTGATGCTCTTGACATCTATCATTCACACTGTGAATCCAGGGAACACACGTAACCACAGGAAGGAGCGTCCTCTGCGTGTGTTCCACGTGGTGTGGGAAAAGCAGCAGGTTCTGAAGAGCACGGAGCCCCAGCACAACCGCTTTCCCACACCAGCCTTTAGAATTTGCAGAATGCGAGGACAATCTTCACTGAAGCTTCCTTATCAAAAACTAAATGAAATCTTATGCACAAACATCGCATAGCACTCAGAACATGTATCACCGCCCCCCTAAAAAGTCCACATCACAGGCTACATTTGATTTTTCATTTGAGTTATTTCTTACTGATACATTCATGACTTTCCAGAAACATTGCATCAACTTACTGCTCAACTTACTTAACATTGAACTAAATTTACTTTTTAATCAACATTGACTAAGTTGTATGTTTGCATGGGTGTACTTTACATTGTGGGCCAACCAGAGGCCCTTCCCATGGATTTTGATCGAACATCTGCCTTACGCTACAGGTTGGAAAGATGCACTTGTGAAGATAGGATGCTATAATACTTGTTGACTGACCGTTCCATTGTTCTTATATCTATTTAGATATGACCTGTGATGGCGTCTGTTTTGGTTCTGAGCTGCCCAGCAGACTGTGGACTGACTGAACCGTATTCCTCTCCATCATGATACACAGTAGGTACTCTTAATCAGTTATGTGCTTACATATTGAATTGTTCAGAAAGAGTCTTTTGTAATAAAAACTATCCAAAATGCATGTGTTCCTGTTACTGCTAAGTGTGACTGAAATCAGTCTCTCAGTATTGTTAAGTGAAAGGACATTTGGACTGGGGGGATGGCTCAAAATCGAAGAGTTTGTACTGTGCTTGCAGAACACCTGAGTTTAGTTCCCAGCACCCAGATTGGGTGATACAATCACCTGTTACTGTATCTCCAGGGGATTTGATGCCGTCTTCTGGCCCCTGCTGGTGTTGGACTCCTGTGCACATATTCACACACAGGCACACACATACACATAGTTAAAAATAATAAAATAACTCTTTTAAAAAATGAAGAACACTAAAATACCTACATCAACAATGAATAAAAAAAGTGTGGAGGTATATGTGTGTCATAGAGACAAATTTAAAAGTATAAAATGTTAGCTTTCTTTAACAGGATAATAAAAATTATCAATTTTAAATGACGTCTAGGTCACTAACACCATGTAAACAGGGCACTGATGGAAGCCTAAAGTTTTTAGCTAGTTTAATATTTTGAATTTTATTTTAATTTTACTCAACAAGGTATTTGTGTGCTTCTGCAAACACATCTACCATGCTGATAAGTTGATGAATGTTATTCATGGTGTTGTGGAAGGGGGAATTGTACTCAGAAGACTCTAATTTTAGGTCTGGCTTCACCATTTATCATTTGATAAATGGCGTCAGGTTCCTCAGCTGAAAAATGAGATTACTAATTTCTCCTTCACCTAAATGTGGAGGACCACTCTGAAGGTCAAGTGAAGGAATATGATTTTTTTCAGGTATACTGTACATATTTTTATTTCGTATTACATTTTCGCAACTTTCATGCAATTTATTTTGATAATATTTAGATTCCATCCCCTATCTTACACCTTACTACCCTAGGCCCAGTCAATTATATATGATGTAAAGACCTATAGAATCAAATTTATGTCCCCAGTTGCCCTTCAGTGTGGGGCCATCCGCCAGAGCCTGGTCAACCTACCAAGAGTCACAGCCTTAGGGGAGAATGAGTCTCTTTTAATGGCTGCTCTGTCCCAGTAGCCATTAGTTGCCAATAGTTCCTCAGGGAGCGCTGGGGTTTCTTACCCACTTCCTCACATCTATGCTGGGTTTTTCATTGGATTAAGCTTATGAGGTACATGTGCATTCTATCACTGGAAAACTCTGTTTCCTTATGGTCATCCACCACTTATGGCTCTTACAGTCTTTCTGTCATTTCTTCTGCAATGATCCCTGAGCCTTGGGAGGTAGAAGTTTGATATCGATGTCCAATTCAGGGATAAGATCTCTGCAGTCTCTTGTTCTCTGCACATTGACCAATTGTGGGTTTCTGTGATTATCACCATCTGTTGCAAAACTCGAGCCTTAAGGACTGGGGATGTAGTTCAGTTGGCTGTTTGCCTACCATGCACAAGGGCCTGGGTTCCCTCCCCATTGCTGCATAAAGTGGGCATTATGTTACATGCCTGTATTCCCAGCCCTACAGAAGTAGAGAGACAGGAGGTAGAGGCAGGAGAATCAGAAACTCAAAGACAGCCTAGGCCATTGTTCGGGTTTGGTTTCCATTGGTATGATAAACACCATGACCAAAAGTAATTTGGGAAGGACAAGGTTTATATCACCTTACAGCTTACCATCCATCATGGAAGGCAGTCACTGCAGGAACTCAGGACAGGAACCTGGAGGCAGGAACTGAAGATCTGAGCATAGAAAACGCTGCTCACTGGCTCACTTCCTGGGTTTAGTCTGCTTTCTTATGTAACCCAGGTTCACCTGCCCAAGGTTGGAATTACTCACAGCAAACCGGCCCTTCCTACATACTCAGTCGAGAAAATGCGTCACAGACTTATCCACAGACCAATCCGACAGAGACAGTTCCGCAACTGAGGCTCCCTCGGTGCATCAAGTTGACAACTGAAGCCGCCCAACACGGCCATATAGTGAGTCTGGGGCCAACGTAGGCCACACAAGATCCTGTCAAAAACCAAACAAGCAAACAAAGCAAAGCAAAAATAGAGTTTCATTTGCTGTAAACTCAAGTTATAAGTAGGGATGGGAAAGAGCTGCAACCATCATTTTTTTAAAATATTGATTAATACAATCTCATATTTTGCTTATTATCCACCTAAGAGATACATGCTAAAAGGCATATAGTTTGACCCACATTAATTTCATGTATTTGAGAAGGTACCTGAAAAGATGAGTTCATTTTTCAATGTCAAGACAAAAGACTTGAGAGAAACATCTCAAAGTAGGAAAGTTTTATTTTGGTTTTATTTTGGTTCAAAAATTCCATTTATGATCATTTAACCATGTTGCTGTGGGCCTGTTAGGCAGAATATCCCCTGGGGGAAGTGCATCTGAAACACAGAAAAGAACCTGGACATTAGTCACCCTTCAAAGACTCACCCACAGCAATGTACATCCTCTAACTAGGACCCACCTCATAGTACCCCGTTTAGATAATAATCCAGGATTAATCTATTGATAAGTTTACCATCTTCCTGCCCCCACTCACCTGTAAATAATGCTGATAGCTACTTAAAAAACATTTTCAACATGAGCCTTTATGACCACCTATTGTCCAAGTTTCTCACATACACAAACCTGCACATCTGTCTCCACCAACTGAGAAGAATTTCTGCTTCTGCTCTCTAAGAAAATTCATTCTCTTGGTAAATTTTTACTTATTAGGTATATGTACATGAGGAGAAGAATTCAGACATACCTGTGTTAGCCATTCTTTTGTGCACTGGATAAAAGATCTGAGTAAATTCCAGTAGGAAAGATCATTTGGACCTATGCTTTCAGATGTTCTGGGTGTGGTCAGTTCCAATCCAGTGCAGTGGACATGTGGTGAAGGCAGAATATCATCAGAGGGAGCATGGAACAGCAGAGACTGAACACCCATTTCAGCCAGGAAGCAGAGAGAGACGAAGAGAGGACGAGGACAGAGACAAGACACAACTCTTCAAAGAGGCATCTCCAGCAAACCACTTCCCCCAGTCAGGACCCACCTTCCAAGAGTGCATCCAGTTATTAATTCATTGGTGGATTAACCAGCCAATTAGGCTAGAGCCTGAACAAATCACATCCCATGAGCCCCACCTTTTATCCTGTACTGATGCCCAAATCTCCAACAGACGACCTTCCTGGGTACATTTCATGTCAGTGCCATCTGAGTACTTCCTCATGTGAATCTAATTTTAGGATACTAAGCAAGCAGCATGGAAATTCTGGCAGATATTATTCATTGAAATATATCATTAGTAGGTAATGGTGTTTGCTACAAAGCCTGTCGAGTCCACCACCTGACCACCAGGATTTCCAGAAGGGAAGGAGAGATGCCACTCCAGATAGCTGTCCCTCTGCCCTCCGCACACATGCACTCATACACACACACACACACACAGACACACAGATACACGAGAGAGAGAAAATAAATGTAATATAAAAGGAAATGCTTTAAACCACATCACTTAAATCCCCTCCCCTAACCAAACCTCCTCCACTGTCCCCTGCCCAATTTAATGTACTCTTATACAGATGCACACACACACACACACACACACACACACACACATACACAAAGCAGCCTATATAGTCTGATTTGTGTTCCCAAATGTCCTTCAGTATGACAGTACTGAAGTTCATCCATTAGACCTACTAAATAAACAAAAACTTTTAAATATAATCTTATTTAATATATTCAGTAAGTTGAAAGAAGACTTCTGTGACATTATTAAGTAACCAGCCTGAGCTGGGGCTGTAATTTAGTGACAGAGCTCTTGACAAACATGCACAGACAATGGCCTGTTTCCATGAATAGAATTCTTGCACATAAGTAAAACAGAACTCTTAGTACTGAGTGACATGTGTCCACATGCTAATACTGTGGCAGTGACTCCATGCGCGGGGTTTAGTCCGTCAGACAGAGGCTACAATGCAGTTCTCCTAGATCCTAGCTTTGCAAAGTTGGACCAGCCATTTAGCCTCTCTGTGCCTTAGTTACTTTATGTGTATGACGAGGGCTGGTAATAAAAATCCTTGTGTCATCACACAGTGTGGTGTGCAGACATTAACAGGGCTAGGCATGCAGACCACTGGGTTACCCCTGGAGAACTAGCAGTCTGTTTCCCTGGGAATATGATATTATCGTCATGAGCAGATGATAAGCCAGAAAGCCCAAGTTCAAATTCATTAATTACCATTTTGAGAAATAAATGAAACTATTTCTGTCTACTCTTAAGTTGCTTTTGCTAGGATGATTCAACCCCAACTCTGGGAAGGACTACTGCCCATCACCTTCATTGAGAATTTTAAAGATATGATCAAAAATTATCACATAGTACTCAGGAGGTAGAGGCAGGCAGATCTCTGTAAGATCAAGGACAGTCTGCTCTATATAGTGAGTTCTAGGCCAGCTGGGGCTACAGAGAGACCCTGTCTCAAAAAGAACTGCCCCCCCACCAAATTATCACATAGTGTGATTTTCAAGTACAAGTCAGTGATCCTGTGACTTTGAGAGTGTTCTTGCCATATATGTTGCATTGAGGAGGTTTTAAGAAATATGCCCACTTATAATATTTCTTTTGTTAAATATGGAATAAAACATAAATTTTTTTCATTTATTTATGTATATTAGTGGGCAGGTGCATGTGCGGATGTCAGAGAACAGATTAAGAGTTGGCTCTCTCCTTATGCCATGCGGAGACTTGAACTCTTGTCATCAGGTCATCAGATTTGGCAGCACCTTTGCCCAATGAAGCACTCTACTGACCCCAAATATAATTCTTTAAAATATGAGCAAGAAACTCAAATCCAGTTATAGTACACAAAGAGGACTAGAACGTGTCACCCTGGTTTAAAATTGAAATTAGCAGACCAGGTGATGCACGTCTATGTGATCCCAGTGTGAAGGAGGCT